ACCTCTCAACTTCCCTGGTTCCCGAGTTAGCGATTTTCTCGCCAGGAACTTTCCGGGGCCGTATGTGAGAACCACGCATACTACGAGAAAAGACTACTAATAACAGCCGCAATAAATCAGCTCGGTCTACAAAACAACCAGGCCAAGAATCATCGTTTCGTCAAAATCGAACTCAAACTAGAATCCCCCTCCCCTATTGAACCATAGAAAACAGCGAAAAATTTCAATAACTAACCTCTTCCTTCTTTTGAGATTTCACAGGTTCTTCAACTCCATTGACCTCATTGTTTGTCGCTTGCTTTTGCTCCTGATCTTCCTCCTTTTTCTTTTTCTTTGCTTCAATCTCCTCATTTTTTTCTTTTTTTCGTTTTTTACTGTCATTTTCCGGTTTGCTTTTTTGTGGCCTCATCGAAACTCGTGCTGCCTGCGCATTCACTTTCTCGAGCGCCTTGTCCAACTCTTGCAGAGTACCGACTTCTCGTTCGAATTGTATGAGGGCGTCAAACACCTACAAAAAAAAAAAAAAAAATTGCATAAAAATGAAAAAAATCTCGCGAGTAGAAAGCGTTACTCAAATCAGATCCTATTAAATTTCATCCAAGCAAACGTGGATCATAGCAAGCTTACGTGTTGCTGAAATTTTTTTTTTATAGATGATGACAATAGAGGCCTCCATTTAACGATCCAGGGAGAATAACAGAAATTATGACAGTTTCCAAAAAAAAAAAAAAGAATCTGCCCCCCTTAGGAAACCTTCCCAGATCCTCCTGTGGGTACCACTTCCCGGATGAAGGGAAAAATACCAGCAAGCTGACTAACAGATGATGCAATTACCATGAACAACTACTGCCAAATACATAATCTGCACAAAAAACCCGCTATGATCAGAACTGATCAAAAAATACCAAAGTAAAATGAAGCACTGAAAACTGAGAAAAATTACCGTGAATGGATGATCGCTTGCTGAGTTTATGGCTCGATAGTACAGCTTGCGTGCATTGTTCAGTTCACCAAAGTACCGTTCCAGATTTGCAGCTTCGAGCCATGCAACAGCAAGATGACCACTCCCGGATGCCAAAATATCATTCCAAATTTTTCGAGCTAAAATTGCAAAAGGTTCACTTCAAATTTGCTTCGTTTTCATCCAAGTATATGTGGCTGGTTATCGCTGAAATTCTAACCGGTGCATGCTCAAATTTTTTTATTTACTTAATAAAAAATAGAAAAATGAAAAAAATTGAATTTTTTCCTTTTTTTTAAAAATTTTTTTTTTGAATTTTTTCCCTTTTTTTTCCGTCAACATTCAAACCGCCGGTTTAGCATCAACAATGCTATCAAGGCAATTTAAACCAGCGCACAGATCATGTGCTCCAAATGCAACATAATAAATTCAAAAGCGGATTATTGAATGGTACCCAAGCAATGCTAAATGGACACTGAGAAGATCTTCGCCAGTGATGCGGATGGGACCACTTTTTCGCCTGGACGGAACTTTATGGATGAAGCAAAGTCAACTATTAAAGCTAAGAGTGGAGTCTTTGCCCGCTGCATAAATGATAAGGTAAAAAACAGCTAGCTGTGCGGTAAAAAATATGGTGGTAAAAAAACCGGCTATTTGAGCCAGGGCCGCAAAAACTGCTTTTTCCAGCCAATTTTTTGCTTACCAAGACAATTCACTTTC